AAAATACAATTATACTTTTTTAAATTGATATAAAAATATTTTATTTTTCTTATTAATGATATTCGTACTCTTTAGACCAAATATTTATTTTAAAAATTAATAAATTTTTATATAATTTGGATCAGAATTTTAAAAAATAAAAATATTTTACCTAAGTATTCATATATACCAAAACCCACGGGTGCATGAAAAGCCAGAATCATAGACCCAGTTTTGAGAGTTTAAAAATGAAAATCCTTATAATCCCACGAGGGAAGAGCAAAAGGGTGTGTAGTGTCACTGTCAGACAACCATCACTTTGCCCTGCCGACTTTATCCTCAGCAGCAGATAGCCGCCTAAGCACCCAGTTTCACAGCCCATAAGGACCCATGGCTCGCACCATGGGCCTGTCATCGGCTAACATTCTTTTGAGTCGGCTAACATCCTCTGCCAGTCTACTGCTATAACGTTAGCTTCACTCGTTGCGAAATCCACCATATTTGTTTTATAAAAAAGCCCACTCGCCACTGGTTTGGAGTTCAACGTTGAAAACAACATCCCAAAAACCACATGAAAAGGAACGAAACAAGAAGCAGGAAATGACCAAACCCCACCGCAGCCTCTTTCTCTCTCGCTCTCTGTCTATATATACAATCCCCATTTAGCTCTTCCACTCTCCTCCATATCTCGAATCTCCATACTACACTTTTCTCAGTTCATTCTCCTCACGAAGGAAAAAAGAAAATGGATTTCATGATTCCCAAAGCTCAGCCATATTCTTTCTCAGATGCTGGTAACAAGGTGATGAATGTGAATAACCCAGAAGAGAAAGAAACTGAAACAACCAACCCTGTCACCAGCCAGCTTCAGATAAAATCCTCAGCTCGGTCTTCCCCTGAAGCCCTGGACAAAGAAGTTGTCCTCAGGCGTATCCGTCATCATAAGTGCAAGAACAAAGTCAAAAGTGCTTTCCAGGCTTTTGTTGGCAGCTCAGCACAAGCTCAAGAAAAGTGGATGGAACTGGGTGATGCTTTCACCTGCCCCTGAAAGGAAAGCTAAAAGAAAACCCATAAATCCAAGAAATCTTAAAACCCTTGAATGACTATGAATTGTTAGTATGTATTTGACGATGAAGATTAAGAGTGCAAAACTCTCTTGTAGAACCGAGCTATGTTCCCAGAAACAATTGTTCAGGGTCTAATGAGGGCATGTGGTATTGTTTCTCCCTCTGATTCAGAAAGAACTACCACTGTGTATCAATTATTGCAATTGTGATTGATTGAATTTGAATCCGGAATTCTATTATCTGTCGTAGATTTCTGGTACAATAATTTTATTACTTTTCTTGTTCATGATTTTGACCTCACCTTGTACAGCTTAATTTTGTACAATCCAACAGGTCCATTGGCAGATATTATAAACCTTTTAGTAGATCAAAAGGAATCGAAATGATGCAAATTGCAAATTATTACAAACCTGTTTGCCTGCTGGATCAACTAGAGACAATCTAACCTCATCAGGGGCTGTTTTCCTATGGCTATATTCAGAAATGTTGATGGGATCAAAGAGTTTTCACCGGACTTTTCTATACTGCTTTTTCTACTCTTGAGGGATCTTTCTTTATTTTAACTTGCAGTCTCTTTCTTACCCTCCCAGTTATTAAAAAACAGAAAAGGTTTCCATTGAAAACGAAAAAACAAATCACAATTGTAACAAGGTAAACCTGATATCCAACGAATTTGGCATTTAACGTGTTTCTGATTATGACTGGGATGATTATTAAATCATAACATGTAGCAGAAACAGCTGCCGGCTGATTGTCCAATGACGCTGATGGGGCGGATTGCAATTTTGTAATAGTGAAATTGCTAATCCCATTAAGGTTTTTAAAATCCATTCCTTCAAGCTATAATTTAATACAACTATAAGAGAACGTTGAATGGCTCTTGATTTGTTCAGGATGATTTGACACTACTATAAAAGACCAAAGAGTTGTAACGTAAAGCCCACCAGTGAAAAGTACCACATTGCTGATATCCAAAAGTAGGCCACCAAAGGTGGCGTTTGTAATGGATCCATCACTTTGCTACTTTATCTCAAGATTCAAGTCATAGGTGGAGATGCCAGTGGACCTTCCACCAAGGAAATGCAGAGCCTTTTTGATATGATACTGTTCTCCCAGATGATAGACTAAACAATTGCAGACAAATTCAATAATTTTACAAAACACAAACTGTTAAGGACCTGCCAAAAAGTTTGTCATGCAACAGGCCAAATTAACAACCCAGAAGTTGGAAGTGGAAGATCAGGTACGAATAGGATTTCTTCTGGAAAAAACATCATGAAATTCATCAAGAGGAGGCTGTTGTATAGGAGGCAGCTCCTTCTTGTCTTGTTTCCTTCAGGCACTGATCAATAATCTTTTCGATTTCCCTCCCCCTTTAGAAAGTTTGAGAGTGATCTCAGGTTTAGAAGGACCCCAGGGAACTTTGTTACAATCTTTTACAGCTTTCACGTAACCCAGAAGTAGTGAGGACACAATTAAGGCGAAGTGCTTGGTTGGAATTGTGTAAAACTGAAGATGACCTTGGAACTTGCATTTTCCTTTTCTTCAAGAACTCCAAGGAATTCTGTAAGCATCGAGCAGGTGGTATGTCCTCCAAAACAACAGGTTCTAACCTGCAGATAACAATGCACAATTATAATTATTACGTTTCAAAAGTCTTCATACTTTTTCTGTTGAAGGAAAGATTTTTCTGTTGATCAGAAAAGTCCCTCACCCTGAGCTTTTCTTTTTTTTCTTTCTTGAAGTGTGCTTTACCTCAATCTTCTCATCCTCAGAGTCTGATAAAAAAACTTGTCTGCAGAAAGAACGTGTTTTCTTCCTTAGACCATTTACATCTAGAGGCCAAAACTACACAGACAGATAGAGAGAGAAAGAGACATCATACTTTTCACGAGATGCAAGCATTTCAACAATGTTAGCAGGAAGCATCCCCTTCTTGGCCTGAGACTCCTCATCCGTCCCAGTTTCTACATCTTCTTGGCCATTCTCAACCTTTTTTGCAGATTGACGCGGTGTTTTCTTCTGAGCCCAATGTCTGCGCCTTTCTTTTCCCTCACGAATAACCCTGTATAGAGGGGATCACATTAAGCTCCATTGAATAAAAACATGTTTGCGTTTAATTTATGTAAACTGGATGCAATCAAAAGGTCAACATGACAATTACAGAGCCAAGCAGCATAAATATTGAACTCAACCAAGCCTTAATCCCACTTTGGTGTATAGATATGTTCTTCTCTTTGGTCCAAAAAAGACCCTTTATCTCAAACTAGTTGTGAAATAATACTACCACCTTATATTCTTTCTCATGTGAAAATAGCAATGTCTTGCTGTTTCATTCAACTCTTTCCATTCACAAGATGATGGTAATACCACCTCTATAGACATCTCCAAAATATGCTAAAACAGTAATAGACAAGCCAAAAAACATAACAACTACACTACAACTGCACTTTCAAGATCATCCCATGAACCAGGGGAACCCTAGTAAAATCATAAATCACAGGTAACTCAGAATTGGCCTGCCTCAATTCCTATACTTCACCTTTACATCACTTGTCTTTAGTTTCAAAATAGAGCCGTCATTAAAACAATGTACTTAAGCATGACCACCTTACCATAAAACTGGCCAAGTATCAACCTTGCCATGTTCATTAAGCTCAATATCGACTTCAGAAACATAAACTAATCAAATCAATAAAACTCTTACTATCTTGCCTTTAACCAAGCATTTCCTTAAAAGGGGTACTAACGTATCATCATCTTAAACCCAAAATACACTAAAATCCTAAGTTGCTTGAACATACCCAGAGCTAGAAATTCTTCCCCTCTTTGCTTTAGCCAATCAATAAGGTAGGGGGTGGGAGAAACTCAATGGGCAACGGCAACTTGGTTTAATACAAAATAAAAGAAATCTTTTTTTCCCATAACAATCATCCCAAAAAGCCAAAAATTTTCAGGAAAAAAAAAGAGAATTGTAAATAATTAGCTAATTACCTGGCCTTATTTTCTTTCTGGATTTGTCTTATCTCTTCATCTTGCTTTAACCCCTGCAATTCAGAACAAATTCAAAACAAAAAAAAAATCAACTTTTTTGCAAATTTTCAATTATAAAACTAAAGAAAGGAAGAAGAAAAAAAAAGATATTGATGAAAACCTGCTCGTTTGTAAATTCTTCGGGTGCATCAGAGTCGTTATCTTCTTCTATTCCCGACATGTCGTTTGCAGTGCCTTGTGTTTTTGGTTCGGGAGCGTTGCCGCTGCCGTCTTCGTAGGGTTTAAGGTTAATGCCATTACAAACCAGAAAACCTGAAAGATGGCCCGAAAGCCCAAGTAGTCAGATGGTTGGACCGAAAGCCCAAGTATTAGTGGGCTTATTGCCATTGGGCTTTCTTTTCCTATTGTTCCACTTCTTCAGAAAGACTCGTTTTAGAAAAGTCAGTAATACTTTTATGGTTTCCACCATCGTTTTTTATTTATCGTTTTACCTTATAAGAAATGGCAGTGATATTAAATTATGATATAATTTTTTAATAAAATTTAAATAAATATTTACTTTTTATTTAATTATCAAATAAATCTTTATAATTAACTATTGATTAATTAAACTAAATAAATTTTTATAACTAATCATTAATTAATTGTTTTTATCAAATAGTACTTGTCATTTTTTCATACCCACGTGACATTTGTTTTGCCATTTTTTAATACCCATGTAACATTTGTTATAGGTCAATAATTAAACCTAACCATGTTATAGGTCAATAATTAAACCTAACCAAACTCTAAAAATAAAATTTAAGTAAATTTATAAAGTATAAGCTTACATTCTCAACTTAAAAGACATACTTAATAAGTGGTAGAAGGCCTGTGTTTATATATCTAAGACTCACCCTATTTCTTACTGATGTAAGATTCTTAACATTTTATCTCATTCAATTATACAGCATTCTCATTGTATTAACTCTTTACGTGTAGAGGAGAAGAACTTTTACACAAGTTAAAGTTTATCTCGACTCTTATGAGGGCCCCCACATCAATGAAAATAAGTTTGCTTTAATACCAAATGTCACATATTGAAACTTAAGTCCAACTTCTTGTAATCTTAAACTTTGTCTGCTCTGATATCAAATGTCACATGTTGAAATTTAAACTCAAACTTGTGCAACCTTAAACTTTGTCTGGTTAGATATCAAATGTCATATGCTAAAGTTTAAAGTTTAACCTCTTGTGAGCTTAAAATTAAAGTTTAAGTAAGTTTATAATTCATGTACACACGTTTTCAACCCAAAAGACATATTTTATAGGTAATGAAAAACTCATATTTATGTACTCATTCTTACTAATATAGAATTCATGACATTCTATCCCATCCAATTCTGCAATACCCCGCTCTTTATCTATAGAGGAAAAGGATTTTTATAACTCTGATACTTAATGTCACGTACTGGAATTTAAGGTCAACTTTGTACAATTTTAAATTCTGTCTACTCTAATACCAAATGTTACATGCTGGAATTAAATTCTAATATCTCGGTTATGTCACGTGCTGGAATTAAATTCCAATACTCCAGTTATTTACCTGTAAAAGAGGACTCTTATAGCTCTAATACCAAAAGTTATGTGCTAGAACATAAGTCCAACCTTGTGCAACTTTAAATTCTGTCTGCTCTAATACCAAATGTCACGTGCTAGAACTAAATTCTGAAAATAAAGTTTAAATGCCTATAAATCATGAGTCTACATTTATAATCTAAAAGACATGCTTAATAAATGATGAAAGACTTATGTTTATATACTCAAGACCTAATCTATTTTTCACTAATGTGAAATCCGTGACAACATTAACGTCAAAGGTGAAAATTACCATTTGATTATGTCAAAATGTCATGTCATCATCCACCATGATATGTGAGCACGTCATATTAGCATCTCATAATATAAAATAACAAGTAATATTTTGACTAATAGCATGTTTGGCCTAGCTTTTTTCTAGTTTAAAAGCTATTATGAAGTTCTTATGAAAAATAATAACTTTTAGAATTAAGCTGAAGTTGTTTGGTAAATTTTTTTTTATAAGTTCTTTTTTATAAGTTATAATTTTAGTTAAAATTATCGTAAAGAGTATTTTTTTTTAAAGAGTTATATTGTAATTATTTTTAACAGATGAGGATATTTTTGAAACAAAAATATTTTTTTTTTATATTTTAAAAACAAAAGAGAAGAAAAAGCTCCTCATAAGAGCTTTAAGCTCTTATTTTAAAAATTTTATTCTTTAAAAAACGTTATTTTTTTTAAGAGTTTTTCAAAATTTATGTTTAGCCTGGATTTTACTTTTAAGAGATAGATAAGCTGAAAAAAAGTCAAACCAAACAAGTACTAAAAGTAATTAATTAACTCTTAATTATAAAATGTTATTTGACTCAAAATAAAAGTATAAGAATTTAATTGAATCTAATAAAAAATATTTATATTTTTTAAAATAATTCAAAGTTTTTATAAGTATAATACCCTAATTTATTTGTTACTACCAAGTTTTAGGATGAGATGAGTTACTAACAAATCACATAAATACCAAGGCTTAACTCACATTTATTCTGTTTTCTCTTCTTTTATGTTTTCATTTTAAAATAATTTATTTCAGTAAATAAAGATGAGAAACGTAATCTCTCTTATATTCTTTCCTCTCACTTTTCTTTTTTACTAAGTAGTAATAAAAGTAAATTTCTTTCGACTTTGTCGTTGGCACCTTCCATCCTCTCACTTTTCCACCCTATCGAGCAAAAGCTTAAGCGTATGAAAACAGCTTGACGAAAAGTGTGCATAAGAAGTAAGAAGTCTTGGCACTAAGGTCATGAAAGGAGAAAATAAATCTTTCACATTTCTCTACATTCTTCCTTTCTTGTTCAAATTTCTTCTTTTTACAAGTATGTTTAGTAGAAAAAGATGGAAAAATAAAAAGAAGAAATTTTCTCTCTATCGATTGAGCTGAAAATTGAAAATTATATTAATTTATCGTTATACTTTTTATAAGTTAAAAATAAATATAAATTAAACAATACGATAGATAATCTTGTACATATGCAACATTGATAGGTCAAAAAGAAATCAAATTTGTAAAACAGAAAGTCTCTTTTAAAAATTGAATCTAGATAAAGAGAAACCAAGTAACCAATACTAAGCCTTAGGCATCATCACCTTCTTAAAATAAACTTACTAGGACCCATGAAATGTGACATCTTTCTACAAGTACAACTGGCGATGAGCCATATATCCCCTTGACTACTTTGATTCCAAGTAGCCCAATTTTCTTCTTCTCCCCTATCCCTTTTTTTCCGCACCACATCCAACGCTCTATGGTTTTCTTCCTCAAACCAGACGTTAGCACGACTGAGTCAATAAACCAAAAGATTAATTATATACACATCGTTTGTTAGACCGTACGTCGCACGTTATGGGGAAATATTTTCCCTGCGTCTGGCGGGAATTGCCATGCGAACCAAACAGAATACATTGTTCCAATTTGTGTGTGGGACTGATCTGATTATTCTCCTAGTTTTTCAGCTGGATGTTCACTACTTTCATCTATTAAAAACTTCCTCCATGCCCAATCAATCCGGCTTCCCCTTAGCTTGGGAGAGTTGATTTTTCCAAGCCTTTGACTGATCGGTTGTATTGAATTTTCCTAGTGCCAGGTTTCGCGGACATTCCCCTCATGGCCAGATTACTACTAACAGTCTTACACTGTTAAGAACCTGTGGAAAGAAAGTAGGGAAAGATCCAAAGGATTGGGACAGGACTCCAGTAGGCATGCTGGTCATAAAAGTTTGGTGAATTTCCACGCAACTTGTCCCCCAGCTACGTGCGCGAAGTTTAATTTTATAACCAATGTGAATAGCTCGAAGAATCTACTTTGCCTTTAAAAAAAAACACACTTTGGCTGTGGAAAATTTGACAAAAGTAGATAACCCAACACAAAGTCTTTCAATTTTATCTGAAAAGCCATCTAAATTATACGCCATGCATGACACCCGTCATGCAAGCTTTTCTCTTATGATGATATATTAATCACAGACCTGACAACAAAAAGAAAAAAAAATGGTTCAATTGCGACAGTGTCATTTTCAGGAGTTCGGGGTTTCCTCCCCACCCCTGCTCTTGCCCCACCAGTCAAAATTGGCTGCTCTTTTCTCCAGCTGCTTCAACGAAATTGAGGGGGAAATAACACCGGGTTTCAAGGCTTATCATCACCAACTTTTGTCATTACTGTTTCTGTTCCCAAACAAATATGGATACGAAACTCTGGTATATTTGCATTGACATGGTTAGAGGAAGGGAAAATCTTATTTATATTGAACCCCAAGCTCTGATATTAAAGAACAATAAACACTTATATAAGGAAGCATCATAAAGTTTATTTTAGATTGGTTTTTTTTTTATGAAAAATTTCAAGAAAAAAAATTATTTTTAAAAATAATAGATAATAGATTTGAAGAATCTGTATGTTAATAGAATCTTTAACTGATTATCTGCTCCAACAATATTTCAAATAATTAACAAATTTTAATTCAAATAAGCAAATAATCTTAAGAATGTATTTGCAGATAATGATTAGGAGCTTTTTTCACACCTTCAAATCAATAGCAATACTACTCTCCTCTAGGTAATAAATTGATTTCATATAATTACCTCGATCAACTTTCAACCCGTGATTGTTTTACTCTTCCTTTTACCTATAACTTTAGCCGCATTTCCTGCAAATCCTTGCATTCACTACTTAGAATGCGCAACTGAACACTCCAACTTCGGGTGTTATGATGCAGTTCAAATAATCAATCAAATTGATAAAGCTGATTGAGAAGAAGAATGTCATTGCCTTAATAATATATTCTAAAAAAAAATTAGAGTAATACCTTGAATAATTTATTCCGAAATCGATTAAGGAATATATATTTCGTATTTGGTGTCACATTTTTCTTTAATTTGAGCTAATTGGCTCGGGATTTTAATACTAATTCTTGGTAACATTTATTCAAGTAATGGCATACTTCCTCTCGATCAACTTAATCAATATGATTGATTAGTTGAACTACAACACAATACTTTGAAGTTGGAGTGTCAATGACGCATTCTAAGCAAACGAATACAAAGATTCACAGGAACTGCAACTAAATTATAGATAAAAGGAGGAGCAGAATAATCACGGCTTCATTTATACAAGTAGTATTGCTAGTGTTACGAAGGTGAAAAAGGCTGCCACATTTATAGTGTTAAAATTAATTTG